GAACCAACAAACCCTTGGAGGGATAAAGAAACCTAGCCTGAGCCCTCCCTTCCCTCCCCACAACTCCTCCATCTCTCTTTCTCTCTTCCTTTTTCCATCCCACCCACCCCCACAAAATATGAGTGAAATAAAGATTCAACATCAGTATTGGCAGGCAACTGATGGTTGTGGTGTTGGGTTTGGTGGCGGCAGCAGCATGAGAGAAGGACAGAGTCGGTTGGTTTTCCAGAATTTCTTTTTTATTTTTTTATTTTGTTATTTGTATTAATATTATAAACTGAACTTAACAATTTGTTTATATTAATTTTTAAATTTTATTGAATTTTTTAAAGGTAATTTAACATAATTGATAATATTGGCTAACAGAGTAAAACACGGAGACTAAATTGACCAAATTGAAAACACAGGGATTAAATTTGCCAAACGTATAAAACACATGGACCATTTTAACATTTAAGCCTAAGATATATAAACAAAAATAAGTACAAAGTAACTAAGATGTCGAATATAGATACAACCCTTCCAATGATCAAAAGCAACAAATTGAATTGATCTGGAGAGGATACGCACAACCCAAAAAATTATTAAAATCTACGAATCAACAACCCAAAGGCACATGTACATAAATGGGGATTCTTTACACCTTAATTTTTTTTTTGTTGAGAGAATTGAGATTCTTTATACTTTTCAGTTTATATAAGCATCCAAAAATGGGGATTCTGTTTTCGAAGAAAAAATAAAAAAGAACATATGAATGATTTATTATACTTGTCGGTTCCTAAAAAAACACAAGATATGTATTGTATTAGTTGGGTTAATTTCAATTTAGTACTCTGAACGCTTACTTTAAAGGCATGTTTGCCCCTACGTTCTCAATTTTAACAATTACATACCCTAAACTTTTCAATTTTTGCAATCTAGTTTAGTGGCTAAGCTTTTTAGTCGATTCCAATATTTAGGGATCTTGGAGAGAAAATTGTTAGTTGAACAGCTTCTGGAGAGGAACCACCAACTTGGCAGAACAGTACAAGGGATCGTACATGCATCAAGAACTTGCGATACACAGTAAAATAATTATATCCCAACAGTATAAGGGATCAAAGTGCACTAACTCAAGCTTGTGATTAGCCTAGTGATGAATAATGAGTTCGGATTAGAATATGCTCAGGATTCGATTCCCTCAAATGTAACTTTTTTTTTATTTTATTTTATAAAAAGAGGTGAAATAGAAACAAAATAAAAAGAAATCCGGTATGGTGCGGTGTCGCTATTGCCGTTGCTACCCATTAAATAGAATGGCCAACAGGGATACATGTTTTTTGTCTATCTTGGTGCCCTTGAAAAGAGAATTCATGGCAACTTAGTGAATTAAATCATATACATTTCTGGTTACTTTGTGTAATGTTCTCTTTTAGCACAATCAACAGTGCAAGCATGAGCGGCGTCCATTAAGAACTTAGTACAAACGTACCAATACCAGAATTCGAACTTTTCCAAAACCTGTACTTTTCCTTCCTTTGTTAGAGAAACCAGAAGGTTGGTGGTTTGGTAGAGCAACCCATAACTATAAACATCTTAAATGGGGCCTCCTTGTTTCTGGTGCCTGGGGTTCTGTCCCTATGTTCCTTGTTGCTGAAAATTTGTAACGGGAGGAATAGTAATGTTTTGCTATTTCTATCCAATTACGTTTTATTGTGTTATCCCATCCAATCACATTTTACATGTGAAACTTTTATTCTGTGTGGCAAAACTTGATTGGTGACATGCAAGTTTTTCTCGTATTTTCATATTTGTAGTGTA